CCGAGATTGTTTTGATTGAAGAAAGCAAATTCGAGCCTGACTGGGAGTTGCAAAGGGACCTGGAGCTCCCCTGGAAATGCAGCCTATTCCCCGGAAAGATTAGCAACCTGCTGCACCCCAGGCACCCGCCCTCTGTGCACCCCCAGGCCATTGGGAACCCCCAGCCGCAGAGCCTGTAACGGCCCTTTCTTGTTCCTTTTCCCACTTCCCCACGTAATCTTTGTCCTTCTTCCCAATATAAGCGGCTGGCTTATGGGGGGGGGGGCGCAGACGGCACATTTCTGTGGGTGACCTGCTGTTCTCACACGCTACCGGCAGGATTTTAGAGTCAACGTTCACATACGATTCAACCCCGGCTCTGCTTAATTGGCTCAGGCAGTGACAGGCAGCCACTGACTGTCCGGTTATAGAATCACATCCTAGTTGTATCTTATTTACGTGAATTCATCTTCTGGACAAAAAGGGGCCACGTGCTCACCTGACTAACTGAGGGAAAGGCCTTGTAAACTCAGAGACCTACAGTAACCACGAAGGACGGTCTGAAATGAAAACCTGTTCATGAAAAAGCAGTTTATAGTGGGCAGTCAAGTTCTAGGCCAGTATCTTCCCTGACGAAGATCAACTTTGACCTTTACTGAGCATCTAAGATAACACACCTGTGAAATATCTAGGTAACTTGTAACTTCCTTTTTTCCGGACCCCTCAGGGCACAACAAATGGCAAGGGGCAGAAACCACAAATTCCCTCATTATTGTTATGGTGTTAATTGGACGGCTAACTATCCTGTACCCACCTGTGTAAAAGACGTATGTCTATCATTTTACTTTTTACCCAATCCCAGAGGTTCCAGCCCATCTTGTTTTCTCCCATCTCCCTCATCTATCATGTAACCCACTTAGGTCTCCTCCTTTAATGGTAATTTACAAAAATAGGTGAAAAAACCACTGTTCTCCTGAGCACTATCTAGATACATTGAGATTGTTCTTCCTGGCAACTGTCAACAGTCTGGCTCGAATAAACACACACAAATTCTTTACAGGTTTGAATGTTTTTGTTTTTTTCTACATTAACAATCTACATTCAGGCATAAAGGACAAAAATAACTACCTAAAGTATTCAGAATACTTCAGCCAATGAGTATTTGCTCTGGAGTGAGCCTGAGATGGGGAGCGTAAATCTACTCTACCCAGAGGTCTCAGCTTTCACATGCCTCTCCCAGGGGTGCATCTCACTGCAGAGAGCCGATGTGAGGGCTTAAAGAGGAGTATGTACTTGGGACATACAAGTCGGTCCCTAAATACAAGCCATTCATTCGTTTGGCCCCACCCTCCCCTTTGCCTGCAGAGGCAGGTTAACCCAGAATGAGTGAAGATGGAGCCTCTTCATCGTCCTGGGAGGGACCCTAGCAATTTTGTTACTTACCTTGTATTCTTTTTAAAATATATTTTTATTGATTTCAGAGAGGAAGGGAGAGAGAGAAAGAGAGAGGAACATCAATGATGAGAGAGAATCATTGATTGGCTGCCTCCTGCACACCCCACACTTGGGATTGAGCCCGAAACCCGGGCCTGTGCCCTGACCGGGAATGGAACCTCCTGGTTCATAGGTCAATGTTCAGACACTGAGCTACATCAGCCGGGCTTGTATTCCTTTTTCTTAAAAAGGGTTCCCCCAAATGTATACAGTTTAAGCCCCACAAACCTGCACTCTGGATGTTAAACTGGCGGTGGTGGAATTTTTGAGAGAACACCGTTCCCAAAGGATCTTCAAGAGTCTATTTGGCCTGGAGATGTCCACCTGCTCGCTGACTTCGGAACCTGACCCCGTAGGAGCCCACTGTAGAGGATATACACACCTACCTGCCCCACACGTACACAAAAGCCCCGATAGCAGCGGTTCTCAACCTGTGGGTCGCGACCCCTTTGGGGGTCCAACGACCCTTTCACAGGGGTCGCCTAAGACCATCGGAAAACACATATATAATTACATTTGTTACTTACCTTGTATTCTTTTTAAAATATATTTTTATTGATTTCAGAGAGGAAGGGAGAGAGAGAAAGAGAGAGGAACATCAATGATGAGAGAGAATCATTGATTGGCTGCCTCCTGCACACCCCACACTTGGGATTGAGCCCGAAACCCGGGCCTGTGCCCTGACCGGGAATGGAACCTCCTGGTTCATAGGTCAATGTTCAGACACTGAGCTACATCAGCCGGGCTTGTATTCCTTTTTCTTAAAAAGGGTTCCCCCAAATGTATACAGTTTAAGCCCCACAAACCTGCACTCTGGATGTTAAACTGGCGGTGGTGGAATTTTTGAGAGAACACCGTTCCCAAAGGATCTTCAAGAGTCTATTTGGCCTGGAGATGTCCACCTGCTCGCTGACTTCGGAACCTGACCCCGTAGGAGCCCACTGTAGAGGATATACACACCTACCTGCCCCACACGTACACAAAAGCCCCGATAGCAGCGGTTCTCAACCTGTGGGTCGCGACCCCTTTGGGGGTCCAACGACCCTTTCACAGGGGTCGCCTAAGACCATCGGAAAACACATATATAATTACATGTTGTTTTTGTGACTAATCACTATGCTTTCATTATGTTCAATTTGTCACAATGAAAATATCAGATATTTACGTGACGATTCATAACAGTAGCAACGTTACAGTGATGAAGTAGCAACGAGAATAATTTTATGGTTGGGGGTCACCACCACATGAGGCACTGTATTAAGGGTCGCGGCACTAGGAAGGTTGAGAACCACTGCTCTAGAGTGAGTTACTCTAAGATGGACAATACACACCTGCCCCTCACGGACACATAAGCCTCTAAACTACAGTGAATCATTCTTAAAACGCAGTACTCATTCCACGCTAAAACGGCCCGGCCCTCGGACCCAGCACCGCTCCCGCCCTGGGCTCCGCCTCCCACCCGGGTCCGTCCGGCCC